CTTTGGTTATTTGTTTGTTTTGCTTTGTCTAATTTAGAAATTTATGTAAATCAACACGTTAAACATTAAAATTAACTGAAAACAGAGTTAGTTTCAGTTTTAGAAGTAAAAATCGATTATACGACGTTATCGTTTATACGACGTTTTTCGGTGGTCCCTTCGGCGTCGTATAAACGATGCCCCACTGTATATATATATAGTCCAAATTCGTCAGACCTAACAATTTAACTACATCACTCCTTTTTTATATGCATATAAAAGAGTAATGTAGTTAAATTGTGGGGTCTAACAAATTTGGACAATTAGAAATAAATGTATTGACAGACTTGGAACAATTAGAAACAAACGCAGGACCAGCAGCCAAAGAATATGCTCAAAATGAAGATGACTGCAGAATTTTGACTGTTTGTCTAAAAACATTTAGGTGTCACATGGGGAGAGATCGAGAAGAAAAAGGGCTAAACTAGCACTTAAGACTAGTTTAGCCATTGTTAAAATGGTGGAGAAGAAGCATTTTATGAACCGGGTATTGATGCACTATAGTTGTAAAATTTTATATATTTATATGCATTATTTATCATAAAACTTGTAACACAATTTTCTCAAAACTAAGTTTCTTATGACTTAAAAGACTCAAAACTAAGTTTCTTTAACTAGCACAATTTTCACCCGATTCACTTCAAATTTTTATACAATGTTCACACTAAATTTAGTTTTTGTTACACACAGAGATTTGTTAATTGGGTTAACTGGTTCTGAGTAATCCCCAGAAAAGAGCTAATTTTATATAATTTTTTATTCTAAACACTGTTATTTTGTGAAAAAAATTATTTTAAAAATCCTACATGCAACGAAAACTATATTTTGTTGTTTAAAAAACTCAAACAGAATCAAATTTGGACATTTTTAAATAACTTATGAGTACAGCAAGTTAGAAACATTCTATTTATGTACAACATGACCAAAAAAAATGTATTAAGTTTATCACAATCGTTGAAAAATTCATTAAAAAATATTCCTTCTAGTGAATTGCCAAATACCAAAGGAATAAAAATAGGTTCTTAATCGAACATTCTTGGTACAAACTTGACTTTGCCAACTGTCTCAAAATGATGTCTTTTCAAGGGAGTTTTCAAGTGCAGAACAAGAATTCTGCAGAAGGCAGGTGAAAGTATTAAGGCAGCAGGGGAACTACTTAAAAAAAAATCAGGAAAAAGGTGCAGTGGCATGGTCTGTAATCACATTGACTTTTTCAACTGTTCCCAAAGTCAGGTTGTGCCTATTTAGAAAATTTACTGCCAGTGCCAATAAGTGAACACTCAGACAACAGACTCAGTTCCAGGAATTCAGTCACATGTGCTACATTTTGGTCGTTGGTGGTCATTCGTGGTCTTCCTGCAAAAGTTTTGTGGCTATCTTCTTTGCAGACTTCAAAAAAGGCCTTGTCACATCGCTAGATTTGGCATTTTGATAAACAATAATCCCAAAAGGTCATTTTATCATAGAAAAAGTTTTTGTAATTAACTTGCTGAGTTTCACACAAAATTTGATGCGCACTGCATTGGAGACCAACGCGAATTTCACAAAAATTCCATATTCCTTTAGAAGGTAGAGACAAATGAGCTACTAATTGGTGATGAATTGGAATGAGGTGCAAACAAATTGCCCTCTTTATTGATTACACTTAGGATATGTATGCTTAAATGCATGTAAGTTTCACCATAAAATCAGTGACATTATTTTCAAGCCATACCATGTATATAGTTAAGTTCAATTTAAATTATCCATATCCAGGAAGTCGTGCCTGATGTTCTATAGGCCAGAATGGCATGGAATTTATAAATCAGACATTTGAAACTGGGGATGGATGGTTAAGAGATTAAGATACTGGACAGCAACAGAGAGAGTCTTAGGTTTGTGTTCAGGTGTCACAGAACCTCAGAATGTACAAGCAACTAAGATAATAGAAAATGAATCACACATTCTTAAACAGCTGGGGAAAAAAACATTAGCCATTGGTGGAAGTAGGGCAGTGCTCAAAAGTGCTTTTCATAAACATAGCATCTATGCAACACATGTAAATTAAGATTATGATAAAGAAAGGGCATGACAAGTCTTGTACAAACATTATGTTTACTCTTGTATAAGATTGGTTTGGAGAGTAAGTCTGGTATGCACCCACAAAAGTCAATGAAACAAGACTCTTTTCTTAAAAAAAAAAACTCAGTTTTTTACTCTACTAGCAGTCTTTATCTAGATACTTCTTAAAGGTGTTGTTTATCTTTTGCAGCAAAATGTAGAACCGTCATTCACTGAAATCTGATAAATTTTAGACTTGGTAAAAGAAATTAATGCATAGTTATTAGGAGCCAAAATCCATACCATAAGGATCCATACCCAAAAATCACAATTTCTAAAAAAATATTATTTACTAATTCTCTAATTACAATGGGATCACACAAAATATACTTATTATAATATCTAATTTTTTCGTAAATTTATTATTATCTGCAGAAAAGAATGTGAGCACTTTATTCAAACAAATAACAAAGATTCATGATTTTTTTAAACTTATTTATTATTTTTTTTAAACATTTTAGCTGTTTTGAAACCAACAATTTGACAATATCTCGAAACCATTTGATAGGTCAACAAATCATTTTTAAAATAAGTCAAATCTGTTTACAAGAAATTAAACTGATAACATGCAATAAATTATAGAAATATGCAAATACATAAAAATTTATCATCATCATATTTTATTATGATTTCAATTTTTTAAACATAACTACCCAAACAGGTACAATTAAAAAATTACATTTTTTATATTTAAAAATATTTATAACATTTACTTTTTTTGATTAAATTGGATTTGGCATCAATCGACTTGACATAAAAAAAATGCATAAACTCACCCCCCCCCCAGTAATATCAAGATGACAGAAAAAATACACTTCACAGGAGAGGTGAGTTTCAGCTAACCTAAACAAAATGTAAACCATGGTCTAAACCAAAATGTTTTTAAACTATTTCAAAATTTTCTCAGTTATTTTCTCATAAGGTATTTTTTGTGATATGGACATAATAATTAAAATATAAGAATGTCTTGCAAAACTTACTGAGTGAAGGCGGTCTGTTTGTCCTGACACTTTATAAGCACTGGTTACAAATTTTGCTATATCTTGCATAAAAATAAATCCTTTCCAAACCGAAGTTGCACTTTTTGATTCCATAATTTGACAGTCTTCTTCATCAATATTGAGAGACCTTAAATATGTAAAACTAGTCAGAAATTAATTTTGCTAAGTGAAATATAAAAATCATAAACTAAAACCCAGGGATGAGAGTAGTTAGAAAGTAAAAAAGAGGAAATCCAAGAATGAATATATATATATATATATATATATACACATATAACATATAATATGTAGAAGCTGTGATATCCAAAAATTTGACAAAAAAGTGCAATTTTTAAACCATGTGATTATAAATCTTGATGATTAATTTTAAAATTGCATAAACGTGAATCACGTGCATGATTTTAAAATCGTGTGAATAAGAATTGCAATATTTGAATTTAAATTGAGAGAATATGGACCCTGATATGTGGCTTCTTAAATCATGTGTATATGAAACTCGATATTGGGTTTCAAAAATGCAAAAATACAAATCATGTTGCGTAATTTTTAGATCGCGTAAATACGAATCACAATGTCTTAGCGTCATAAATAATCGCTACATAATGTTTCAAAAACGCATAAACAAATCGCGATATTGGATTTTAAAATCTCATAAATAAGAATCGCAATGTATGATATTTAAATCGCGTGCATAAGAATCGTAACATGCAACTTTTAAATCGGGTATGTAAGAAAATCAATGTTTGATATTGAAATCGTGTGAATAAGAATCGAGATATTAGCAGATTCTGGACTTGGAATTTCTAAAAGGCTTGTTTGAATTGCTTCTGTTTAGCCATAATAAATAAAAATTTATAGGATTAATTGAATGAGCAAATAAATATTTTCACCGCAAATCTAACGCTATTTTTTAAAATTATTTTCTTTGCTTTTGTGCCAGCAAACAGAAAGGAGCGATGTCTGAATTAAGAAAATACAAACTATCTGGCGGGGGGGGGGTAAAAGTACAGAAAATCTTATTTTCAGCACACAAAAGAAAAGAAAATAGCTAAAATAAGTAAAAATGCAGAAGGGTTGGCAGCTACGTAGTTTGAATTTTCAGAAAAAGCGGAATATTGGTAAAATGGCTGATATTCGAGAGACAAAAGCGGAAATCAGCCAAAAAAGTGGAAAAATCTCATCCTTGAAAACCAAACGGACATAAAACTCAAATAGAGCAACAAAATGAAACTAGAAACTAATTACTAAAAAAAATCAGATAGAAACTAAAAAAATCATTTCTAGTAAGAAAAAAAAAAAACTCCGAATACAAATATTTAGTGATTGCACAGCATATGCATGATTCTTTTTAAACATGACAATTCAGACCAAAAAATTTCTTCAAATTTAAAGTCTTCAAAATAATCTAAAATTTTGTTTGAAAACTTCTTGTTACACTTATTAATAACTTATAGACAGCAGTGTAGTTTATTGACATTTTCTCGAGAAAAAAAAAAAAAATAGAAATTCACCAAATCTTGAATGCCAGGAAAATGACATATTAGCTTAGAAGTTTAAAAAAGTCATTTTAAGTTAATAGTAAGTAACTCAACTTAAGCCTTTATGTTAGATGGACCATAAATTGCTTACATTAATTCTTTTTATCCACTGTAGAAGGAATCAAAAAAATTTTTGTTGCTGATATGTACAGAATAAGATTGTGTATAATAATCAATCATTAAATAAATAAATAACTTTGATTACATCCAATATTACAATCATACATAAAATTGGTATTAGGTTAATATTTGCTTTCCCTCCTTACATTATTAGCAGTTAACAAAATTTCTAGTAACACTTCAATATCCTGGCATTATAAGCCAGGAAAATGACAGCCAGGATAATGCCAAATTAGCCATTTTATAGCAAATAACTGTACTTTAATTTAATATTTTGGCCTAAGACGTTCATATTCTGCAGAAAACAACAGGATTTCTTAAAATAACTCATATAAATCTATGTAGTTTATTTTATTAATAATTTCAAGAAGCTAGGAAAATGACAAGACAAAAACCTACTCACCTTGAAAAAATCTTTGAAATAGATTTTGAACCAGAAAATTGGTTCTTTATTCATGTAATAAGACATGTTCATATAGGAGGGTATCTAATCAATCTATTAACATAAGATATTGATTGCTGGCTCTATCTATTTTGGTTATAAACCACTAAATAAAAGTAGCCAGGAGTTTGTCCTGGGACAAACAAGATATTGACAGAAAAAATTATTTTAAATAAAGTTTTTGTAAATAATACCCTCTGCTTATATTCTAGAAATGCTCACACTTGGTTGACATAAAAAAAAAAATTGGATATTGAAAAATTTATGGGAAGTTTTGAAGTTAAGTTATTATTGGAAGCATTGTTTGGGACATGCCAGGAAAATGACATTTTGAAGTTCAATTAAATTTTTTAACTATACAAAACAGTCAATGCTAGTGCAAAGTCATTTTAAAATGCTAACAGCAATGCAATTTATAAATTTTTTTTTCAAAAAAAAGTTCTTTTAGTATTATAGTATTAGATTTTGGAGCAAGGGACAGTGAATTGTCATATCTCGTGAGAATCACCCATATAGGGGAGGAGAGTGGGATAAAACCAGATATCTCGATTTTTGTGAAATTAGTTGTTTTCTAGGGGACAAACTCTGAATTACACTTTACTAGTCAAGAAGAAGGACCTATTATATTGTTGTGTTATTAAATAATTCACATGTCTGCGTAGATTGTTCACCAGGAGTTGGCACTTGGCTCAACCTTCTCGGATGTAGAGTTCATTATAGCATGCAGGTAGTCAGAGAAAACATCTCTGGGCTTGAATTCGAGACAACCTTTTTATAAACGCCAATACAAACAGTGAATTTTTTTTCTTTAGTCACTTACTTAGCTTTATCATCTGCTATTACATCTTTCGTTATTATAGCTAGTTCAATATACTTTAAATTTAAAAATTCTGTTTTCACAGCATAATATCTTAGAAAGAGCAAATTATTCAATCAAGAGAGAAATATAATAAATAATGTTTTGCAAAGATGAAGCCAGAGTTTAGTTTTTGTGTTTCATTATTTTCTTAAAATTTAATAATTACGGATGAATTTTAATTTTGATTTAATTACAGTATGTTTTTTTATTTATTTTGAATATATAGTTATTAAATGGGGATAGTAGTGACAAGAGAATGAATTTTATGATGGGTATATCTAAAAAAAAAATAGTTTTTAATAAAGTTTCATTAATGTGTATTTCTGTAAAACTCTATTTTTATTACAAAAAAAAACTTCATTAACAATTCGCAAGTTAAAATTGTAGGGTGATTTCATTTATTGTTTTTCTCAAAAAATAATTGAGAGTTGTACATTTTTACTTCAGAATTTTCTATTTTAAAATATTTTTTCCCTAAAACTGCTTTACAGCAAGGAATAGTAAATTTCCAATTTAATTGGAGAAAAGTATTTAAATAGCAGATGCTTACAGTCACATAAAAAGAATTATGTATGCTGTAAGTTCCTAAATATTACTAGAGATAGTTCTAATAATAAATTTAAATATATCAGCATTTAAAAAATATTTAATGTTAAAAAATGCACTTAAAGATTGCAGCAAAGTAAAGAATTGTCAAATAGCAATCTTTCACATGGTTGTTTACATATTTCTCCCCAAAATAGTGTAATAGTATCATCGGATATAGCATAATAAAGGCGGTGCCAAGTGCAGACTCCTCATGAAGGAGCTATATATATAAGTTTGTTTTACTATGTCAATACTCAACATACTCGTTCAATGTCAATACTACTTGTTTTTTTGTTTTTAAGGTATATTAATTTATCGGTAATTACAGTTTTAAAAATTATTTTTAGTGCATCGTATTATACATTTACTAAATACTCATACCCTAAAAAACACTAGCCCAATAAGTAGCACTGTTTTGTTTCATATCAATAACCTCTGATTGCAGGGTAAAACCGGTTACTATCTAGTTTAGCGCCCTCGCTCCCTGATGTGTGTTTATGCTGGGCCCATAAAGGAAGATAGCTACATACAAAGGTGAACAAAGGTTTTACGGGCCCCAAGACAAGATTTGTTGCAGACCCTATCCGTAAAGCACAAAAATCCTTATTTTAATTTACTATAGAATTTTTGAAGACCTTTTATACAAAATTTTAGTTTTTATACAGATTTAAAGAAATTCTCTGAAATTTTCTTTTAAAAAAACGCTGATACACTCAATGGTTTAGGCAATAATTTAGGTCGGGAACTCAGCTGTCCTGGGTCTCAGGACAATTATTGTTCCCACTCTCCTTTCCTTGAGTGCAGCCTTGTACATCACATGTAAATTATATGCATAATTTTTTTAAATTGCCATATAAAATAAAAATGTCTGCTACTCTTCACTAAAATTCCAGTGTTTTGAAATTTCCCATAAAGTTAACATGTGTACCCGAACCAGGTGGTGTGATTTTTTCTAGAAAAAAATCCTTTTTAAAAAAAGTAGTACATCAATGACTTTTTGATAATTATATATTGTATACAACTAAACAATGAACAATGATTAAAAAAAAGGAGAGATAGACTTGTTTATTAGCTGTTTGAAGCTTTTCTGACATTCTTTTTATTCTATCTTATTGTCCTTTTGTTTGTGAGAGGGTATTTTCCCCTACAGTCAAAATCAGGAAGATAATGGGCTGCACAAAGCATAGGAGAGGTGGTTAAAGCAGATATGGGAGCTTAAACTGTAGAATTTGCAAGAATATTTTTCCAGCAAACTTTAACTTCTGAATCTTAGATTAATCCAATCATTTATAGAACATTACACTGAACAACTTGTTAAAAATTTTTCTTTTTCTGGATTCAGGTGACCTGCAAGACGCTTCTTAATCAAAAATAAATATTCTGGAATTTGATTTCTGCAGCGTTGAATAGTGTTGATTAAAATGCTTTACAAATGAGTTTAAAAAACAGGCTTCTCTGTATTCGCTGGGAACATTGGTAGCTCAGAATAAAATTGCATGATTGAAAATTTTCTGAAGTGAATGATGTGCATATCGAATGCAACACACATCACATTACTTTTCAATTCCTTCAAATTCTGATTTAATGCTTGTTCCCGGAGATAGTGATGAAAATGATGAATATGAGTAAAAAATATCAGAGGATAAATCCACAACTGATCAGGAGTTTAAAAGCATAAAAACGCTGAAATAATATTTATTTACGAATGTAACCCAAAAAGCAAATTTGCAAACAGAAATAAATATAGAGAGGGATAGTGCTGAAATTGTATCTAAAAACAGGTAAAAATTACACACTTTTTTTAATAATTCATCTCGTAAGCATCAATTTTTGAAAGATATACTTATATTTCAATATGCCAATTTTACTTTAGTTTTATTACCAATTTTATGTTTTCAGACCAAATAAAACAGTACTGGGAACTGTTAACATATTTTAGACTCAGAGGTTTTTTTTTGTGAAGAGATGTAAAAAATATTCAAGAGCAAGGTTCCACAAAAATGCAAAATTTCCAAGAGCAAGGATTAATTTTCAGGTCCCAGCATGCTATGAAGTGGAAAATAGTATAAAAGCTTTTTTGGTTTCATGTTAAATACTGACTAACATGTTTGATGCCAGACAGGAATTTTTAGGGGCTTTGGCACCCAAATAACTGACAAGAAAATTAAAGTTCTAAGAGTATAATTGTTTTTATCCCATTTAACCTTTTACTTGGTGTGCTACTTGAGCAAGTTCCTAGCCAAGCACAATTTTCCCATAGAATAACATAAGTGTACATCGGTTTTCTGTTTTAAAGCAAACAGATCCAGTTTCATTGTTTTTTATATGAGACTATCATGTGATTGATACACACTCCAGCAATTGGCAAGCACATAGCCCCGTTTTTCAGGGCTTTATCTTTTAACAGCCATGGCAGGAATACCAAATAATTTTGACCAGGGTTAGATGATCTGGTCAGTGCCTGAGTTGGTGCTCTCGTCTCTAATGTTACACACAATAAATGAGGGAATTTTCAGCCATGACCGATTTAACAAGTGTCTGGCTGCTTATACATGCCGGTTGTCTAATTAGCTGCAAGGATCTAACTCACAACCTTCAGCTCTCCAACAGCAGGGTAATTCCAAGTTAAAAATTAAATGCATCTACATTATCTAAGGATTTTATTCCAATCATGAAATTTTTAAATTATGCTAAATAAATAGTGTTTTAATGTTGCCCACACATTCTAAGTTATTTTATCCTAATATAAAGCTTATTTTTAAAGATGATAATAACAAAACTCAGATTAGTTTATTTTACTTCAATAATTTGTAGTTAACGATAAAGAGAGAGCTAAGTGAAAAGCAGTAGATGATATTGTTAGAAGATATTTTTTTAAAGAATAAAAATCAGAAATTTTGTAAACATTAATGATTCACACAAGAATGGAAAATCAGAATGTATCAAAAAAATTCATGTTTATTTTTAAGAAAGGATGTTTTTGTGTATCAGTATTAATGATCAAGTGAGCAATATAACAACTTAATTGAGATACATTAAGTGAGCACATCACATAAGTGACAGTAGAATGCACAGAGCTTGACTAAGCAGGGGCATACGAGGTTAATATCTCTTTTAGGTTTTAGTCAATTTTCTTGTTATATATAATGAGGTGAAAAATTTAAAAACCTGAATAAGGTTCAGTTCTTCATTACTGAAGTAGAGGGAGTCCCCAAAGAAGCTTTTGCCCTGGGTCCCAATTAGGCAAAGTCGGGCCCTGATAATGCATTAAGATTTTATCATTACATTGAAAATCATTCTAGTTGTTCAATTGTTATTTCATTTACTGAAGAAATCAGAATTTCACTCCACACCTTCTTCCATTCAAAAAAGAATGTTTATTTTTATTTGAATGGTAGTAGATGCTCTTAACAAAAATCATTAAAAATTCCTCCCTCATAAAGAGTCTTTCAATGATTTCACTTCAATATCTTCATTATTCGAACATTTTTTTACACCTTACAAATTTACTAAAATAAAGTCTAAGTAAAGTAATTAAAAAAAACAACAATATTAATTTCAAGGCTAATTTATTCTAAATTACTAAAATGTGACTATTAACTTTATTAACTAAGTTTTTAGATACTAATTGATCTTATTTCTTAAAGAAAAACTAACAATTGAAATTTAACCTTAAGGTGAGCATTAATTTATATTTTATTAAATAAAGTTTACCAAAATTATTTACATAAAATTTCAAAATATCAAACAACTTTCAACTTTAAATATTTTATCTATATTTAGAAGACTATGACTTATCTATATTTAGAAGTATTACAGCCAAAATATTTTAGAAGTTATGAGTTTGAGCATGAGTGAATCATGTACTTCTTGAATATGCACATTATAGTAAAAACTTTTCTCACTAGTTTCATTAAATCTGAATTTCTTAAAATTATTTCACTATGCAACCACAATTAAGAAGTATACAGAAGGTTTATACCCAAAAGATACAGTTGAAGTAGGTTCTTGGTCCAAAGAATCATCTCCAGTACTTGAAATGGAAGATTTTCTTTCAACGACTCGAGATACTAAATCAGTTGTATTAGGAGAGCTAGCATCAACAGATATTGAGTGAGCAATGCGAACTTTCTTTGGAATATTCTCATCAGGAGGTGGTGCAACTTTGCCAGTGCATATTTTGCAATTCAAATCAAACAAATGAGAACGATGTAGTTGAGTCGTATCATTAGTAGAGTCTTCTTGTTCTTTATCAATGTCAAAACTTTCATCGGTGTCACTTTTTGGAACAGGTTTTAAAACATCTTGCTGCAAAATAATGAAAGAATTTATATAACTACAAAATATTAAGAAAGTAATTGAATGAAGAAGTAAAAAGCATGCAATAAAATTGAAGATAATAAAAGAAAGCAAATTGTTGAGTTATTGTTGCCCTCAATAAAGAAATAAAAGTTCAGAATGAATTAAAATTTCTTTTATAACTGATATTAGTACAGTAGTAGGAGAAGTTTTGTGCTTTATAATTTAAAAAAAAAAATGCAAATATGCAAGCAAAGAAGGGACATAAATTTGCGAAGACAACACCAGTTTATTAGCTATTGACAACACCAGTTTATTATTATTAATACATTTACCAGATGTGTTTTTCTATACATAATTATTTTATTACATAAAAAATTCGACACTAAATTAAAAAGAAACAATATATAACTGCAATTTGAATTTTACTGTTCTTGTAGGAACACCATATACAGTCAAACTGTAAGATTAGTAGACATATAAGGTTGTTCTATTGCTGAGGATGTTCTGCTGTCTGTTCTGCGACATGTTTTATGATGTCACAAACTTAACTCTTTCATCGTTGTATTTTGGATTCGTTGCAACTCCTTGAATGCTGTTATAAATTACTTAAATACAATTTCACATTATGGTTTTTACTAATGCTACTTTTTTATGCTAAATATACAGTATTTAGGTAGTATATTTAGTTATAAAGCCATCAATAATATAATTTAAATATAATAAAAAATACCTTTTAGTCATTTTAATTTCTCTTCAATAGAAATTCGGTACATTAAAAAAATTGTGATACAAAATCATGTAACAAGCATTAATTTACTCTGCTCTAACCTTCACATGAAATAAATTATAGTATAATATAAGAAAAGAATAGTATTATTTAAATAAAATTTCACACTTTAACTCAAATCAATGTTATTCCTTACAATAAACAGAAAAATGTATGGGTAGTTTTTTTTCTTTTTAATTTTAAAAACGTATTTTAAAAACAATTTTTTTTTTCAAGACTCAAATTAAGCATTCTTAAATCAAAATTTGTATACTTAAAATAGTATTAAAACATTTATAAAATTATAAAAAGATATTTTTTAGTACAAATGTAACATTTAAAACAAATTGTAAGGTGACAGAAAAGAATACAACAGTAAAACCATTATTTAGTCGACAAAATTGATATTAAGAATGAAATAGCAAAATTTAACATTGAAAATCGAAATCACCTTATATTAAATAAAAAAGGTAATATTAACTACCCAAGGGGATTTCATTTATCACTCGCTGTAGCACATTAATTATTCCCATGGAATTCGAACAAAAAAAAAACAAAAACAAAAATTTAACTTTTAGATTCCTTAATAAACAAATTTTAGTTTTATAAAAAATTGTTTTGAAGAATTATGTTATGGTCTTTTGCAGTTTAATTTTTGAGAGGCCGTAACTACGCAGTGGAACTAATAATAATCACCAGAACACACAAACAGCATGTTTATTGATAGACGGCATGAGACAAAATAAAAAAAACTACATGTTTATAACAAAAAGATCAAAGAAAACGTGATACAACATACATAGAAGAGGGCTTTCTAGGTTTCGCGATTTAACGCCCGTTGCTGCGAATATGCCTCACCCTTTTCTTATAAATATTAATATCTTCGAAAGCCAGGCTTAGAAATTTTATTCTAATCATTGTTCTGGTTTTAAAAAAGAAAAATGCAAAAACAACTTTAAAAGAATATGAAAGTGTTAAATTTAGTAATATATTAAATTTGAACCAAAAATAAGTTTAACTTCAGCAAATTTTATCAGAAATAAATTAACGCTAAGATTAATGAAATGACAGGGGTAATGCCTGCCGCCTCCAAATGGTGCTCAGTGGATACCCCTCACTGGGTAACTAAATGGCAAGCACAGGGTAAGCCCACAGGTGAGCCCAGTGTATGCCTGCATTGGGTACCTGGACATATGGGTATTCTTGAAAATGAGCTAGCTGATGAAGCAGCACTGGCTAGCTCTAGTGCAATTTTCTGGGGCCCTGAACCTGCATTGGGAATTTCTCCCATATTTTTTAGGGTATCTATATTTAAGCTCTATAGCAAAATTGCCCATGATCAATGGCGTGTCGCTGGCGGTCAGAGACAAGCCAAGGAGCTGAATCATGACAGTCCTAGTGACATCAAAAAGAGCTTTAGAGCTTTAAAAGCTAAATAGAAACAGTTTGAGGAAGATCATTGGTTTTCTTACTGGACATTGCTTCCTCAGGAGACACCTATGCATAATGGGAATTTAATCTAATTCTCTTTGTCGAGGTTGTCATCTTGAAGAAGAGACATCACGACATATACTTTGTAATTGTGAGGTCTATTTTGCTTAAAGATTTGAGCATTTGGGGCAGCATTGAATTAAAACTTGGGAACTGCAAGATGTTCCTGTAAGGCAGTGTTTCCCAAACTTATGACTTTTGTGTACCCTTTCTAAATTTTTCGTAACACTGAGTACCCCTAATAAAAAAATGAATGAATTTTTTACTATGAAAAATCGCACAAAAAGTAAAAATCACAACTGGCTGTTGACACCACTAATTATTAACTGTTAACTCTGCAAAAAATATCCAATAGAAAAATAGGTAATCGTAAATTTTCATGGCTAGCTTTGTTTTTAAATAAAATTTTTTGTAATTTTCGTTTGTTGCAAGATATTTCGCATAAGAACGCGTACCCCTGCTAAACTGTTCCCGTACCCCTGGGGGTACTTGTACCACACTTTGGGAAACACTGCTGTAAGGTGTTTGCTGAATTTTATTTTTCATGCCCCTCCTTCCCAGAAATAGGAATAAATCACTCTTCTTTTCTTTCCACCAAGCTTGTTTTACAATTCGTTACCTGATCCCCTACTTTGTTCTTGGAACCCTCTTATCTTTACAAGTGTCTATTCTTTACACATCCCTCTTGAAAATCAAGAAGAGGAAAAATTAAAGCTTGTTTTACAACTGTTCTCTTCATATTCTTACTTTATCGATTTGAGACATGAAGATTTGTTTTTTCTAAAGCAATAAAATGGCGAATTCTATAAGAAGGAAAGCATTTTTGATTGAGGACAAAATAAAAATTATCAAATGTATTAGAGATGAAACTAATCAATTGGCACTGTATAAGGAATTTTTCCTCTTAAAACCTGCAGTTTTAAACATTTGGAAAAGAAACACAGTCCGATTTTTGCCGCACACAAAAAAAATATGGTTTCTACAACAAAAAAAAAAAACAAACTACAATGTGCTAAAAGAGAAAACATAGACGATGCTATATTAAAATGGTTCACTATTCAGCGGGTTAGAAATCTCCGTGACGCCTGCTTTCCCCTCCTTCTGACTATGCTTCAAACTAAAGCAAATGAGTTTGCTGAAAAATTTGTGCTTCAGTGGATGGCTGGATAGATTTGAAAAACAAAAATTACAATAAAAGAATTTGCTAGGGAAGAAATAAATGTTTTTCCAATGGATATAGAAAAGTGGAAAGCCAAAGTGTGGCAGGATATTATACAGAATTATGAAGAAAAAGACATTTTTAATGCTGATGAAGCTGGACTATTTTACAAAATGACAACCAATTAATTATTAAAATTTAAAGGGAAAAAATGCACTAATAAGAAACTCTCTAAAGTGAGAATAACAGTTCTTGCATGTGTAAACATGTACAACTCAGAAAAGTCTAAACTAATTATCATAGATAACTCTCAAAAATCTAAGTACTTTAAGAATTTTAAAAAACTGCCAGTAAACTATAAGGCTAATCAGGAAGCATGGATGACTTACAATTTTTTTAGAAGAAAATCGACAGTGGGACAGAGATTTGTCAAAAGAAAGACGTAAAATTGTTCTAGTTGACAATTGCACAAGCCACTCCATTTAGGAAGTCTTAAGTGCACTAAGCTCATTTTCATCCCCCAAATACGACGTCTACTAACAACTGGGCATTATTTATAGCCTTAAGTCCCCTTACAGGATATAAATAGGTTTACGTATTTTAAAAAACAACAAAGAGAACAACACAGAACACAACATCTCTCTTCTTGAGCAATCGTTTTGATGGTAAAATCAAAGAGAAAAGTGATACCAACAACAATCTGCAGCTGTTTCTGAAACACAGATCTTTCAAAGGATTTAGAAGAAAAAGACTCCACTGTGGAAGACTAAGATGGTGAAGATATTTTACCAATAATTCTGTGGCTAGAAAAACATGGCAAAGTATTTTCTTTAGGAATGTTAAAGAGCAATTTGAATATTGTGAGGATGAAGTGTGCACTTTTGATACCCCTACCTATGATGACATTTTTTCTGAAATTAAACAAAAGAAGTTAAGGCAGAAAACTTATTAAGAAGTTTAAAGAAAATGAAATTTGAGCACCATCTATTTCAGTAAAGTCAGCAATAAATATTTCAAATTTTTTTTTCTCTACAGAAAATCCTAAATTCTTTGCTGATAGTAGATAGAATTTTACTTAAAATCAAATTACCTTCAATCAAAAATCACTAATTTCTTTCATAAAATAAAGCCACTTTTTAGCTAAGTAAGTAGTTTTGTCTTTAATTTTTGATTTATTGTCTATTTAATTAGCTTATTTTTTTTAAACAAATAATTTTATATTGCAATTACTTTTTTCAATAATATAACTGTTATATGCTACAATTATTAAATTTTTTTTTAATTGCTCGTTTATAGTGGACATATTGTTGGGTTCGTAAATGGTTCACTATAGCAAGGTTTAACTGTGGTATAGTTTAACACCGAATGCCAGATAATATCATTTGACATTTACAAAAATAAATTATTGGATGAGCCCTTTGTAAACTGAACAGAAAATGAAAAATGGCAAAACCTGAACATTCTAATTAAAAATGCATGGTAAAAATTTATCGGTAGTATAGCTATTTTTCAATTCCTAACACTTTCTTTTTAATAGTATCATCACAGTAAAAATTGCATATTTCATAAAAATTCAAATCAATAAATCATTTCTTAAATTCACTCAGCTGTTTATAAGAATTTCAATTCAATGGATAAAACTTAAAATTTCTTCAAGTAAGCACATTTGAATTGCCAGCAGCTGATCTGTATCTATATAAACCTTTTGGGAACCGCTGGTAAAGCAGGTAGTTAAAAAAGCGAAACATCTTGATTCCTACAGTCTTGTTATCAATGAGTTGTATGTATACATATATATATTAAAAAATTTATTCCTCCGCAATTAATTTGTGTGTACCGGCCATGTTGAAGAAAAAACAAATGTGGTCTCACAAAAAAATTATATTTGCCTCTGATACATAAGAAATATTTTATAACAAGAAAAGCTTAGGGTACAACTGTTAACCAGCCATCTTTGAAAGGTTATTTAAAGCATTGAAAGTTTTATTTAACCAGTTTTTACACAAGTGCAGTATAAAAAATAGATATAAGTGTAATCAATTCTGGAATTCCTTGAGAAACACACAAAGAAGCCAGTAAAAACAAAGCTAGATTTTTATTATGCCATTTTCTTTTGAACAATAAAAAAAAATTCTGTCAGATACTAATGCATCGACACATTGCCGTTGACAATGCTATGAGACATTGCTATTTTCATCTGCAAAAAAAGCATTGCACAAACAGTGTGTTAAACTTGACTATATCAGAAACTAAACTTGAATGCTTTCTTTTTTAGATACAAAGCTCCAGATTTTTGTTAAATCTCTTTTTCCGATTAGGTAAAAAAAAAATTATAATAAAAAAAAACTATAAATCCATTTAACTCCTTAAAAATAAAGCACAGATCATTAAATTTCGAGATTTTATGCCAGTCAGTGCAAGGTAAATCAATTTTCATAATTGTATTTGTAAATGTATGTATTGACTATTGTATTTGACCCATATTTAAGAGCCTAATGTCTGTTTCGAATTATTTACATTCCTGTCAACTTTAACTCTTTCCGAATTTTCCATGCAGTAGTAAAACAATTACAGAAAAATAATCATACTTGAAAATAATTTTATATTTTTGCAAAGTTGATACTCATTTAGAAAAACTATTATGTATTTTTATATTTGTTTTACTAATTAATATGTATTGGTGGTTAAAATCATTTATAAATATTATTATAATTCAAAGAGATTAATGCAACCCCTTTAAATATGAAAATAAAATGGTATGCATTTATTTGGTAATTTAAAATTTCAATTTTCATACTATAAAACACAATACCGTACAAGCATTTTTTACCTCAATAATGGTTATATCATCTTCAATCTCAACCTCTCCTTTATGAGTTTTCTTTAAAAGACTTCCAGACTTCTGTTGTTCTAACTGAACTCGTTTTATCATATCTAAATGCTAAGAAAATACAAATGAATGTCAAGAATAACAAAGTATTTTTGCAAACTAAAATAATTGCCATTGAGATGGGTATTACCTATATTTTGAGAATTGAACATTTTTGAACAACAATATACATTTTTATACCTGATTTAATCACATAAATTTACTGAATAATCAGCATATTTCAGCTAAAACAGAGAAGATAAATATACAATCATTAGCTTAAAAAGTTATTCAGTAAATGAAGATGAGAAAAAAAATGAAGATGAAATTTTTTTCATTTTGGACACAAAATAAGCCTATAATATAATTGCAAATTAGTTTGATCAGTCAGGCATAGAAAAACCCTAGAACTGCTCCGAATTATTAAAAATTACAATTGATCAAACTCTTGATTCATCCACACTCAGACACTTGATCGCTGAAAAAAGAAATTATCTGAAATTTTGTTTTCCACTGTAGTTTCTCGGACCTAATTTTTATTATTTTTTTCAAGATAAATAGTTACTACCAATTTTATGCATTCATAAAAGAATATACGTATTGAAAAAAATACATTCCTTCTTTTTTGCACTTTGCACATCATCATCACAAAAAAAAAGAGATTTTAAAAACTGAAATATATGACAATGAACGAAAAAATATTACAGTAATTATCGGCAGACACTAAAAGGTGAGAAGTCATCGAGTCCATTAGAAGCAAACCTTTGCTTTGAAAAAAAGCACCAGGCCGCCTCCTCCACACCATATCCAACCAATCTATCATTATTTCTTCGCACATCCAATCTTTTTCGCTTGCTTTCAGGATTATGTGTGTGTGTGTGTGTGGGGGGGAATTGTCTTTTGTTAATGTTTTTCTCTTAAAGATGATCAACGGACTTAGTCTTTTCCCCCCTGTTGTACAGGCTAATACGCACACAAACGATTTTTTCTCTTTCCCAGTAGTAATTATCGGAACATTCTTTGTTCCTGCTGTGTCAAAAGTTCTGCTAGCAGGGCAATCAAATGTCAAAGGTGTTTCATCCAAGTTTATAATTTGAGAAGGAGAAAATTTTTCCACATCAATGAGGTTTTTGACGAACTTCAAGAAGTCATCTTTTTCTCTTCCCAATTTTCTGGAAGTTTTTGCCCAGCAGTGGTCCCTGTTTTTACAGATATTTTTTTCCTTTTCATAAAATGATAGCACCAACTTGGGCTGCCTTTAAAATTCTGAATGTCCAGCTGGTTAGGAATTAATTTAGCTTGTAGACGAATTTTAATTGTACACAACAGATTCTAAAAAAAACCAAGTGGATATCAGTAGCGATAACTGTGAAAAAGTTGGTGGAAAAAAAACAGCGGTATCTTTGCAGAAAAGAGTGACTAATAAATGCACAAATTGGATTTTGCATGTTGTAATAATAATATATAAAACAATATAGGGATTTTTATAAAACACTGAAAAAAATAGAATATTTGCTGATAAAATGATTGAAATACCACATGTATTTAGGATGGTATTCACACAAATTGAGAGGATAAAAAAAATTTAAAACTCAAATGCATGATTCCCCTTTTATGTATTTGTAATAATATCAGAATTTCAAAAACTGCGAGAAAGTTGTATTAATTACAAAAGCAAAGAAAAAAGATCAAAACATGAATTTATGATTGCATCCAGCAAGTACACACAAAAACACATCAATTCACAAGTCACAAAATAGTTCCAAAACACATCAATTGGTGCATATTCATTTGAGTCAGAAGAATAACCTTTTGGTTCTCCACATAACAGTAGCAAAGATACCTCTTCTGGGTTTATAATGAATGGGGTTACTGCTGCCAGATATCTTATTGACTTAATAGAAGTGTCTTCTATTCTCATTACAGGATGCAACACTTTAAGATGGTACAGTAACCTATTTTCAAGAGGCAATACTTTTAATAACTTGTTTGCACATGCCATAGACCTGGCACCTAAATACATAGAATTTTTTTCTGAAGAAGATAAGGATTTCATCGCATTTGTGGTATCTAGTCCAACATCTATTAATTTTGAATTTTGGCAAATTTCTGCGTTTTCTACATTCAAAGATTTTAAGTCCTTTCCATTCAAACTAAGAAGAGCAGAACTCTTTTAAAAAAACGCCCTAACAATGCTTAAACAAGAGACACCATTTCATCATACAGCAAGTGAATCAATGGAGTCTCAGTTTGAAAAAAACCTAAAAATTTATTTAATGTAGCCAAAATATTTCTTAAAAAGGAGCTTTTGCCAAAACCAATTTAAATAAATTCAATATTGAGTGGCTCATACTATTTTTTAAACTAATAATTACTTTATTTAATTCTGCAAAAGGTAATTAAAAATTCTACTTAATTTAACTATTATTTAAGGTTATCGAGTGTATTTTTCTTAAAATTAAATAAATGTTATTTGTAATAGTACATTCAACAAAACATTAACAAGATTAATATTGATCATACTGATTTTATAAAAATATGTAAAGAATTAAGCAAATTTTAATAAATTTATATTACAAATGTAAACTAGTGAATGGTCCCTAATTTTTTAAATTCAAGTATTTCATAAGTGAAATGATTAATAAAATTAAATAAATTTTAAATGCAAATACAATGAGTATTGAAGCTAAAAAAATTTTTGTCATAAGTAAATTATTATATTGTCCCTACACTTATAATATTTAACAAATCAGTGATAATGAAAATTTTTTACATCAATTGTTTGAAATCAAATCATTAAGAGATGAATTAAAGAATTTTTAAATGACAAATCTAAAAAACATAAGATTTTTTTGCTGCTTTAAAAATTCTGAAAGCCCCTTTCTTCATACTTATTTAAAACCTTGCCTCTAAATATTATTAAGTTTTTTCCTAAATCAAAATAAGAGCACTGAAAATTTTGAAAGTAATAACACAATAATAAAATGCAATAGGTAAAAAAAGTAATAAAGTAAAATAAATGTTTAAAAGCAATATGCAATTAGTGGATGGTCCCTCAGATAAAAATTTATGTTTAAGAAACTCAATTAATTCTTATCTTTATAAAGTTAAATGAATAAAAGGGAGATGGAAATTTTGAGGTTTTAAGCTTTGTGATTCTTAACTGCTCTGAGGATCAACATGATTATATGTACTTAGTGAATGGTCCCCAAGTAAGACCATGGGTATTATTCTATAAATAGAATAGAGCAAGAAGGCCATTAGCTTGCCATTGACAAAGACGATGGCACTTCAATAACTATAAAATTAACAAGAGAAATAAAATTTTCTTTTGCTATTAAAATTTAGCAATGTTTAGTTGGTCCCCGAAAACTCGAGGGAAGTTTCGGTTTCATTTCAGAGAATGGAAAATGAAACCTGAAATTGAGAATATCATGCAAAATGAAGCAGAGTTGCACATGAGAGTGCAAGAATCCTTCACAATGAATCCAGAGCAACCCCACACATGGCAGTAGCTGGGTTGCCGCAAAATTGTGACTTGGCGATACCCAGGGGGAAATATCCCTTTTGGTGCAGATCGGTGCAATTTAAGCCTACTACTTCAATTTGGAGCATGTAGGCGCAGGTTTCCACAATTGGCGCAGATCGGCGGAGCACTTGCAACACTGGGAGACCTAAATTCATGACCTGCCATGATTTTTTTTTAAAAATAGTAAAAATCATGACTTTTCATGACAAATTTTGTTCAATACTGAAATACATGACTTTCCAGGTGCGCTGAAACCCTGTAAATTATAATTACAAAATTCTGAGTATTTCTTAAATGATTTAGTTCAGCTTAAGTATTTTCCTACTTTATTATTGAATAAAAAGTAGACGTATTTTAATCGTTTTTGTATTTCCATTTTATTCTTTCTTAGTAAAGTATGCAGATATATTTTTCTTCTTTATCTTCTGTTCACTTACATGCATGTGCAGTGCATTTTCCTCACCTCCTGTCCTTGTAAAACAAAGAGAAAACGAAATCAGCATGCCACTCCTTTGAGTTTGATTGACGGCAGCTTATCAGAAAAACAATTCTTTCTGACATACAGGAGAAAATAAAACATTCGTCCCCTCCCTGCCCCCTCTCGATCTAAAGATCTTCAAGGTCACGGAAGAAATGATGCTTCCCTGGGCAATTGGGGAGAAAAATTCCCCCCTTCCACCACATTTTCCTTTACTCAACTTCAAGGATGAGTTAAATTTCCGCTTTTTCTCATAATCGTTCTAGTTTAAGAGGGCGGGGGGAAAAAAGCAAAAATTTCCCCTGGTTTTCTGGATGCCAGATAAATGGTTCTCTACTGCACTTTGAAATTCTGTTCAAAAGAACTCAAGTTTAGATCTCAAGAAATTACTACTATTTTTTTTTTGGAAAATTGAATGTATAATGAATAATAAATTTACATAATGTTAATATATTATATAGTTTGCAAATGATGGATGAAAATATAAGCTAATCAACAGAAAAGATTACGAATGAAAACAAAATATATTTCAAATGATTTTTAGCATTAAGTTGCAAAATAAACATTATCACAAAATATTAAAATAAAAACATGCAATATTTTAAATAAAAGTAATTACAATAAAGAAGAACTGCAGAGGAGAATAAAACATATTTTTCAATTTAAATAGAGTATTTGTCATATATTTTAAGTGCTAACTACGTTAAGCTCTGTAAAGTACCCCTACTAAATACAGATTAGTAATATTCTTTTCATAATAATTTTTTAATTATTGATATTTCAGAGATTTCAGGAAAGTTTAGAGACCTCTGCACTATATGGTCTGCAAAGTCTCTGCGCTTGGTTTGAAGTAAAATTTACTTACTGACAAACTAAACACAATAATTTTTTCATACATGAGAACTACTTAAAAAAATTATGGTCAGTCCTTAAATTACTCTAAAAATCGAAGGGTATAACACAAATATAGTGCTTAAGTTGGAAACATTGAGTTAAAATAGAATAGCTCTCAACATGAGTAGTACAATCTGTAAAGTTGGCAATCAGGTAATATCTACACCTTGTTGTCAGTTAGCTTACAATTGTCAGATTCAATACTTTAAAAACATCTTTTTTGTGACTTATTTAATACCGAAAAAAATATTCTACTCCACAGACTCCTTTTATGACTATAAGCTAAGTTTGAAATTAAAAAGAAGTGATGGCAGAATACATGTTGCATTTCTTGTTCTCTCCACTTAGATAATTCCACTGATGCAAGTTCAGTAGCAGACATATGTACTACTTGATCAGGAGATATCTCTCCTCGCAGGATTTTTCTAAACAAACCCTAAAATAGAAAACATAAATATTTCAATGCATATAGTTCAAGAGTTGTAAAAAATAGTACAAAATTTTTTTCCCTACAAATCAATGTTTTGTCTCCCTAAAAATGGGTTAGTAATTTTTTATAAGATCATATATTAAAAATAATGAATTTAATACATGTTGTTTATATGTACTAATGTTTGAAAGAAATGTTTTTTACGAATGAAAACATGGTAAATTTTATGTAATTTGACATTCTTATCATGAAAAGAACTTGATCAAGAAAAGAAATTTAGATATAAATTAAGAAGGAAAAAAGTAAAAACTGGCAAATAAAACATTTCATTACAGCTTGTTTTACAGAAAATTAAAATATCCTTGACTACCAAAATTTTTCTTAACAGTTATTACATTTATATAAAGGTGTGACATTGGGACACTCACTATTTTTAGATCTCAAAATTTATATAGTCCCCAGAGTTAATTTGGTATTTTCTACACTTTCCCTTATGGAGGTGGACTGGAATGTTGCTTCCCTCAATGTGTACAATAGCAGGTGTGTCGGCTCTTGTGATCTATGCGCATGAGATATTTTAATTCTACATTTTTTATTGTTTCTGAACCGTAACTATCTAAAATATTAAAAAACTTTAACTTTTATTTTTTGCTGCTTATTTAAACGTAACTTCTAATTTTTTCTAAGTGTAACTTATTTATAGCATTTTACTATGTAAGGGCTGCCTGCGCTTCACACGGGGCTTTCGATTTTTGTATTGTTACTTCTCCGTTAAAGGGAGCTCCTTCCTTTTCCCACCTACCCCCCAGGTGGCTGGGAAGGATGGTGCAATTAAAACTCATCAGCCTTCTCATGGAATAACTATAATATCCTGCACATCATTCCTTTTGAATATGGAGTCTACAAATTGGCCAGTTTTTTCTTGATGTTGGGAATATGTAGTCTTCCATAAACCAGTTTCTTTGATTAAGCAATATGTCCACGGGGTTGTAGAGAGTGTGGCCTCTTTCCCACACCAGATCACCACCTTATTGTTGTGTTTCAGCAGAACAAAATAAAGATGTTTATAGTTCTTCTCAAAAGATTGGTTTTAAGTTATCGGCCTTTGTCTAACTCACTTTTTTTCATAAGAGGACTGAAGGCATTATATTTTGTTTCCTTCTCAAATGGTTTTTGTTGTTGATATACATGTTATTTAGTAACCGGAAAGTTGTGGAACAACACTTGCAGGTACACCACTTATACGTTTCAATGCACAATGCAAATTTTTATGACATTATTTCTGTGCAACAAAAGGACTTTTTTTTTTCACCTGAGAAATAAGTAAGTGCTTATTTTACTCTTCAAGAAAACAAGCTAAAAATAAAAAGGTTTTAATATAAGTTTTTTCTCTTCACTGCCTTACTTTCAGCCTGGGTATAACTAATTAAAATTACACAGCTAGGTTACAATTAGGACTGGGCTATAAATTGATGTATCGCGACATATCGATTTAACGCATATATCAGCAAGCCGATACACAACTTTCATTACTGGCAAAGCATCAGAAATCTGATTTAAGCCATAGACTAATGACGATGAGCGCAAAACGATGTATGTGACATCCGAGAGTTTTTCAAAATATCATATATGTATGTCAACAACTCAAAAAAAAAAGAAAAAAAAAAGAAACGAAGTTTCTGAAGAAATGAGTTTATTTAAAAACATTAGTAATAAAAAAATGTCACAAACAGAACGACGAAAAGAAAATAAAGAACACCCAAATGATCTGCTTCAACACAAGCTTAAATACAGATAGCAGGTGACGTCATGATCCATGCAAGAACAACCAACATCAAATGAAAATAAACAGGCCAATCCCCGCAGACCATGGCGTTACCGACGCAAGTTGAATACATGAGATCGATGACCGTAAATCGAACCTCATACCTTTTAGCCTCTATTTGTCTAACATGCGGCCCCTTCTCATGCCTTCAACTTTTACAAGAAAATACACATATACAGTTTATCAAAATCTTCAATAAACTAAAGAAATATTCTATTTCCTTAAACTAATACTACAGTTGTTTCATTCCTGAAACCATCCAGAATATTAAACTTTCACAAATACTTTTGAACAAAATTTTTCAACTTCTAACTTAGTTAAAAGTTTTGTAAAAATGTCCGCTAAGTTAAACTTTCTCCTAACTTGTTTAACAGCAAAAAATTTATCAAAAATTAAATTTCTTAAAAAATGATACCTTACGCCGATGTGTTTCGTTCGACTATTTTCAAAAGGTGACTGAGAAAAATCAAATGCAGATTGATTGTCACTAAATATAATACAATCACTTAAATTTAGGTCTTTTAAATTTAATTCTTCACACTCATCTATTATAAGCTTAATCCACATTACTTCTTAGGTAGCGTCAGTTAAATTCACATATTCTGATTCCATTGTAGATAGACTCACACATTTTTGTTTGAAAGTTTTCCAGAATATCGGAGTTTTATCTAAAAACAATATTATACCACCTACTGATAGTCTGTCATCCCTGTTAGCAGTGAAATCTGAGTCACAGTAACAATTAACATTCACAGGGTTCATGCTCTACTATAAAAATAAAATTCAAGTACTTTTCAAGGACTTTTTAAGACTTATTATAAAATTCTCAAGGACTTAAATTTTAGTTAAAGATAGACTAAAATTTAACATTTTAAACTAAAATGATAATAGTAACACAAATATAGTGCTTAAGTTGGAAACATTGAGTTAAAATAGAATAGCTCTCAACATGAGTAGTACAATCTGTAAAGTTGGCAATCAGGTAATATCTACACCTTGTTGNACTAAAATATTTTGACGATAAATGTTAGTCGATAATAGCAGTACTGAAAAATAAGACTTCCATTGCTCTCTCTCTTGGTTTCGGAAAGTGATCTAAGTAAAAAAAAACAAAACAAGGGTGATTGGCATCAAGTCGAGAATAAAATTCATGATGCATATAAACGTCAGGTTTGAATTTTGCATTAAGGCTTATTTTAAGCTAGGTATACAATCTCTGAATAAGCAAAGATTCGGGCAGAAGACGGGGTAGGGGGGAATGTTCTATATAATACTGTGATATCAATTAGATATTTAAAAACAACTCTGCCGGGAGACTTTTATTTAATATTTAAAGTGGCAGAAGCATTTAGACAGTGAAATTTAAATTGTTCTTAAATATAATTTTGAAATTTCGACCACTTTTCTATTTAAGAAAATTAATCAATTATTGGATGTTGCGGCTTGATTATCATTTTAAATTTATTACCAGTCAACCATTTTAAATTGAAACAGTTGCCAACTTTCACCTCAATACCTTCTGATAGATTCTTAGTAACAATTTTGGTCACT